GTTACATTAGTGGGTGTTTGTGGGACACTTTATCTATTACATTAGTTTGTGTTTGTGGGACACTTTGTCTGTTACATTAATGCATGTTTGTGGGACACATTGCCTGTTACATTAGTGGGTGTTTGTGGGACACTTTGTCTGTTACATTAGTGGGTGTTTGTGGGACACTTTGTCTGTTACATTAGTGGGTGTTTGTGGGACACCTTGTCTGTTACATTAGTGGGTGTTTGTGGGACACTTTATCTATTACATTAGTTTGTGTTTGTGGGACACTTTGTCTGTTACATTAATGCATGTTTGTGGGACACATTGCCTGTTACATTAGTGGGTGTTTGTGGGACACTTTGCCTGTTACATTAGTGGGTGTTTGTGGGACACTTTGTCTGTTACATTAGTGGGTGTTTGTGGCACACTTTATCTATTACATTAGTGGGTGTTTGTGGGACACTTTATCTATTACATTAGTGTGTGTTTGTGGGACACTTTATCTATTACATTAGGGTGTGATTGTGGGACACTTTATCTATTACATTAGGGTGTGATTGTGGGACACTTTGTCTGTTACATTAGTGGGTGTTTGTGGGACACTTTGTCTGTTACATTAGTGGGTGTTTGTGGGACACTTTATCTATTACATTAGGGTGTGATTGTGGGACACTTTATCTATTACATTAGGGTGTGATTGTGGGACACTTTGTCTGTTACATTAGTGGGTGTGTGTGGGACACTTTGTCTGTTACATTAGTGGGTGTTTGTGGGACACTTTGTCTGTTACATTAGTGGGTGTTTTGGGGACACTGTGTCTGTTACATTAGTGGGTGTTTGTGGGACACTTTGTCTATTACATTAGTGGGTGTTTGTGGGACACTTTGTCTATTACATTAGTGGGTGTTTGTGGGACACTTTGTCTATTACATTAGTGGGTGTTTGTGGGACACTTTGTCGATTACATCAAGGGATGTGTTTAAGGGATGTTTGCTTTTATAGTGAATAGATTTTCATGACAATGAAGATGCAGCCAACACTCGGCAAACGTTCAGTAATGCTCCGTTTTTCTAAGAAAATATCACAGGGGTTTGTGTGTTTCTGATCGCTGTTGCCAGCCACTAGTCGAGGCAAGCAACTCTATGTAGGATGTGATCAGTCCAACCACTAGTCAAGGCAACCAACTCTATGGAGGATGTGATCAGTCCAGCCACTAGTCGAGGCAACCAACTCTATGGAGGATGTGATCAGTCCAGCCACTAGTCAAGGCAACCAACTCTATGGAGGATGTGATCAGTCCAGCCACTAGTCAAGGCAACCAACTCCATGGAGGATGTGATCAGTCCAGCCACTAGTCAAGGCAACCAACTCTATGGAGGATGTGATCAGTCCAGCCACTAGTCAAGGCAACCAACTCTATAGAGGATGTGATCAGTCCAGCCACTAGTCGAGGCAACCAACTCTATGGAGGATGTGATCAGTCCAGCCACTAGTCAAGGCAACCAACTCCATGGAGGATGTGATCAGTCCAGCCACTAGTCAAGGCAACCAACTCCATGGAGGATGTGATCAGTCCAGCCACTAGTCAAGGCAACCAACTCTATGGAGGATGTGATCAGTCCAGCCACTAGTCAAGGCAACCAACTCCATGGAGGATGTGATCAGTCCAGCCACTAGTCAAGGCAACCAACTCTATGGAGGATGTGATCAGTCCAGCCACTAGTCAAGGCAACCAACTCCATGGAGGATGTGATCAGTCCAGCCACTAGTCAAGGCAACCAACTCCATGGAGGATGTGATCAGTCCAGCCACTAGTCAAGGCAACCAACTCTATGGAGGATGTGATCAGTCCAGCCACTAGTCAAGGCAACCAACTCTATGGAGGATGTGATCAGTCCAGCCACTAGTCAAGGTAACCAACTCTATGGAGGATGTGATCAGTCCAGCCACTAGTGTAATGAAATATAGGCAGAAAGGGGTTAAATGAACAAGCATACATTTCAGACCACCACACGGCGTACTAATCCATCACTGTGTGAAATGACAGAAATGGGTGATTAGAAAGCCATGGCCTAGCCAGCTATGCAGAACACACCGCCATGACATCTGACAGTGAGGGATGAAACATTCGACGAGTGCCCGTGAGCTGTGACCAGCTGATGAGATACTTTCATCCAAACGTGACCACCAAAGACAGGTGACAGGGAAGTGATGGAGAAGGTACGCCAGAAAGAGCGGGAAAGCGGGAGAATAAAGTCTGAGCCAGGGGCTTGAGAAGTCAGTTAGCCCCGGAACCGCCATGAGAAGACAGTTAGGGCTAGACCGCTAGAGAAACCGGTTAGGAGAAAACTAGTGCTTTATTTCGTTTAGAAGAGTATGTTAAACTTAGAGTTTAACTAGAAGTCAGTTAGCCCCGGAACCGCCATGAGAAGACAGTTAGGACTAGACCGCTAGAGAAACCGGTAAGGAGAAAACTAGTGCTTTACTTCGTTTAGAAGAGTATGTTAAACTTAGAGTTTAACTAGAACAGTGAGTTAGCCCCGGAACCGCTTGAGAGGACAGTTAGGACCGGACTGCTTGAGAGACCAGTTGAGAAAACTAGTGCTGTACTTCGTTAGAAGGTATATGTTAAACTTGGAGTTTAACTAGAACAGAGAGTTAGCCACGGAACCGCTTGATAGGACAGGTTAGGGCTGAACCGCTGGAAAGACCGGTTAGGAGAATAGTAGTGTTTTACTTCGTTTAGAAGGTATATGTTAAACTTGGAGTTTAGCTAGAACAGTGGTTAAGGAACTCGTTGAGAGTCATACGAATAACCTATATCCAGTAATAAGAAGTGTTCATATACTATTGCTTTTTGAATTTATGAAGTCTGTGTGACGAGAATATTATGAATAAACCAGCTCTTATGTAATTGATTACATCACTGGCCTTGTTCTTAAATACGATTGAAGAGAGCTACGAACTATATTCATTCACCCTTGGCCGAACTAGGCACATCTATTTCTTGGGAGATGTATAGGCACGACTGTGCCACACTAGTCAAGGCAACCAACTCTATGGAGGATGTGATCAGTCCAGCCACTAGTCGAGGCAACCAACTCTATGGAGGATGTGATCAGTCCAGCCACTAGTCAAGGCAACCAACTTCATGGAGGATGTGATCAGTATAGCCACTGGTCGAGGCAACCAACTCCATAGAGGATGTTACCAGTCCAGCCACTAGTCGAGGCAAGCAACTCCATGGAGGATGTTACCATTCCAGCCACTAGTCGTGGCAAGCAACTCCATAGAGGATGTTACCAGTCCAGCCACTAGTCGTGGCAAGCAACTCCATGGAGGATGTTACCAGTCCAGCTACTAGTCGTGGTAAGCAACTCCATAGAGGATGTTACCAGTCCAGCCACTAGTCGTGGCAAGCAACTCCATGGAGGATGTTACCAGTCCAGCTACTAGTCGTGACAAGCAACTCCATAGAGGATGTTACCAGTCCAGCCACTAGTCGTGGCAAGCAACTCCATGGAGGATGTTACCAGTCCAGCTACTAGTCGTGGTAAGCAACTCTATGGAGGATGTGATCAGTCCAGCCACTAGTCAAGGCAACCAACTTCATGGAGGATGTGATCAGTCCAGCCACTAGTCAAGGCAACCAACTCCATGGAGGATGTGATCAGTCCAGCCACTAGTCGAGGCAACCAACTCTATGGAGGATGTGATCAGTCCAGCCACTAGTCGAGGCAAGCAACTCCATAGAGGATGTTACCAGTCCAGCTACTAGTCGAGGCAAGCAACTCCATAGAGGATGTTACCAGTCCAGCCACTAGTCGAGGCAAGCAACTCCATGGAGGATGTTACCAGTCCAGCCACTAGTCGTGGCAAGCAACTCTATGGAGGATGTTACCAGTCCAGCCACTAGTCGAGGCAAGCAACTCCATAGAGGATGTTACCAGTCCAGCCACTAGTCGTGGCAAGCAACTCCATAGAGGATGTTACCAGTCCAGCTACTAGTCGAGGCAAGCAACTCCATGGAGGATGTGATCAGTCCAGCCACTAGTCAAGGCAACCAACTCCATGGAGGATATGATCAGTCCAGCCACTAGTCGAGGCAACCAACTCCATGGAGGATGTTACCAGTCCAGCTACTAGTCGAGGCAACCAACTCTATGGAGGATATGATCAGTCTAGCCACTAGTCGAGGCAACCAACTCCATGGAGGATGTTACCAGTCCAGCCACTAGTCAAGACAAGCAGCTCCATGGAGGATATGATCAGTCCAGTCGCTGCGCCGAAGAAGCTCATCAAGAGGTGTTACGTTGTAGCAAACTGTCATTTACTGTGCAAGCTACATCTCCCACCGCTTGTCTTCCACGTTTCCCACAAGAAGTGGGAACAAGTCACTTGCCTGGGCCCTGGCCCCGCCTATGTAAACATTTATGAATGACGGTTGCGGGAGCCTTAAACTGTCAGACGATGACTTGGAAGTGCTAGGGGTGTCAGATGTCTCTCATGCCTATATTTTGGTGAGCAGGAAGTTACACGTTGTATTAGTGTCTCACATAACTGCAGATATTGTGACGTTTGGGAATTCAGCAACTACGATATGAATCTGCTGGAGTTATCAGCACTGACGGCAATGAGTTGATAGCTGAGAGTAAAGTTCTGTGTCTGCACCGACACGTAGAATGCACCGTCTCGTGGGACCTAGGGGATTGGGGTCTCTGTCTCTGTAGCACATTTTATGCGGTCAATAAAATCGCTAACTTGCTATAGTATAACGGTCTCGTCACGGAAGACTGAGGTCTCCATGTACCAAAGTCGTAAATGTATGTCATAAAATGACGCTCATTGGACACAGCACGACGACACCCCTCTTACGTTTGCAGAAGTCGAAAAGGCTGATCCAGTATGGATAAAACGCTTCGCATAGTGTAGATGGGCGGGCAGGGCCCAGAAAACTGAACTGTACCGAGAAGTGTTTTGTGACAACTCGCCTGCACACGTGTTTTCACACACTCCTACAATCTATGACTATAATCTGTGTGTGTGTGTGTGTGTGTGTGTGTGTGTCTCGCTCTCTGTCTCTCTGTGTGTATTTCTCGGTCTCTCTTTTCGCTTTCTCTCTCATTCTTTCTCTCTCTCTCTCTCTCTCTCTCTCTCTCTCTCTGTTTATTTCTGTCTCTTTCACTCTTTGTCTCTGTTTCTCTGTCCGGCAGAGAGAGGCACACACACATACATTTAGGCAAAGAGAGAGAGACAGAGAGAGAGAGAGAGAGAGAGAGAGAGAGAGAGCGAGATAAGCAGACAGAGATGAACGAATGAAATTTATTTTCAAAGGGATACAAATTAGGCGCTCAGGCCCGTCTGACATTCGGCTTTTTTTTAAGCACTCATCTTTCAGAGCGCCATTGTTTTCAATAATGCATGTTATGTTTAAAAAAAAAAAGCACATTATGGAGGCAGAGAGAAGCAGCCAGATAACCAAACATAGACACACACATACACACACACACAGCAATGAGAAAGAGAGACAGAGATAGACACACACACACGCACAGCAATGAGAAAGAGAGACAGAGATAGGCACACACACACACACAGCAATGAGAAAGAGAGACAGAGATAGACACAAAAACACACACAGACACACAGCAATGAGAAAGACAGACAGAGATAGACACACATACACACACACAGCAAAGAGAAAGACAGACACAGATACACACACACACACACAGCAAAGAGAAAGACAGACAGAGATAGACACACACACAGCAAAGAGAAAGACAGACATAGATAGACACACACACACACAGCAAAGAGAAAGACAGACAGAGATAGACACACACACACACACAGCAAAGAGAAAGACAGACAGAGATAGACACACACACACACAGCAAAGAGAACGAGAGACAGAAGAGAGAAAGACAGACAGAAAGACAGACACACACACACACACACAGCAAAGAGAGAAGACAGAGATAGACACACACACACAGACATAGATAGACACACACACACACACAGCAAAGAGAACGAGAGACAGAGATAGACACACACACACACACAGCAAAGAGAACGAGAGACAGACACAGATAGACACACACACACACACAGCAAAGAGAAAGAGAGACAGAGATAGACACACACACGACTGAGAAGAGTGTATCAAGTTTGTTGGCTGACAGCGAGAGAGGAAGGTCGGGTTGACTGAGAAGAGTGTATCAAGTTTGTTGGCTGACAGCGAGAGTGGAAGGTCGGGTTGACTGAGAAGAGTGTATCAAGTTTGTTGGCTGACAGCGAGAGTGGAAGGTCGGGTTGACTGAGAAGAGTGTATCAAGTTTGTTGGCTGACAGCGAGAGTGGAAGGTGTGACTGAGAAGAGTGTATCAAGTTTGTTGGCTGACAGCGAGAGAGGAAGGTCGGGTTGAGTGAGAAGAGTGTATCAAGTGTGTTGGCTGACAGCGAGAGTGGAAGGTCGGGTTGACTGAGAAGAGTGTATCAAGTTTGTTGGCTGACAGCGAGAGAGGAAGGTCGGGTTGACTGAGAAGAGTGTATCAAGTTTGTTGGCTGACAGCGAGAGAGGAAGGTCGGGTTGACTGAGAAGAGTGTATCAAGTTTGTTGGCTGACAGCGAGAGAGGAAGGTCGGGTTGACTGAGAAGAGTGTATCAAGTTTGTTGGCTGACAGCGAGAGAGGAAGGTCGGGTTGAGTGAGAAGAGTGTATCAAGAACCAGTGATGACAAGTTTGTATTGCTGTGGCTGACAGCGAGAGAGGAAGGTCGGGTTGAGTGAGAAGACCCGTGAGTGTATCAAGTTTGTTGGCTGACAGCGAGAGAGGAAGGTCGGGTTGAGTGAGAAGAGTGTATCAAGTTTGTTGGCTGACAGCGAGAATGACAAAGTTGTGACATACGACACAGAAGAACCAGTGATGATCAATTTGTGACATACGACATAGAACAACCAGTGATGACCAAGTTGTGACATACGACATAGAACAACCAGTGATGATCAAGTTGTGACATACGATATAGAACAACCAGTGATGACCAAGTTGTGACATCCGACATAGAACAACCAGTGATGACCAAGTTGTGGCATACGATACAGAACAACCAGTGATGATCAAGTTGTGACATACGATATAGAACAACCAGTGATGACCAAGTTGTAACATACGATATAGAACAACCAGTGATGATCAAGTTGTGACATACGATTTAGAAGAACCAGTGATGATCAAGTTGTGACACACGATAAAAAAGAACCAGTGATGATCAAGTTGTGACATACGATATAGAACAAACAATGATGATCAGGTTGTGACATACGATATAGAAGAACCAGTGATGACCAAGTTGTGACATACGACATAGAACAACCAGTGATGACCAAGTTGTGACATACGATATAGAAGAATTAGTGATGACCAAGTTGTGACATACGATATAGAAGAACCAGTGATGACCAAATTGTGACATACGACATAGAAGAATTAGTGATGACCAAGTTGTGACATACGATATAGAAGAACCAGGGATGACCAAGTTGTGACATCCGACATAGAACAACCAGTGATGACCAAGTTGTAACATACGACATAGAAGAACCAGTGATGATCAAGTTGTGACATACGATATAGAAGAACCAGTGATGATCAAGTTGTGACATACGATATAGAAGAACCAGTGATGATCAAGTTGTGACATACGACACAGAAGAACCAGTGATGACCAAGTTGTGACATACGATATAGAAGAACCAGTGATGACCAAGTTATGACATACGATATAGAAGAACCAGTGATGACCAAGTTGTAACATACGATATAGAAGAATTAGTGATGACCAAGTTGTGACATACGAAATAGAAGAACTAATGATGACCAAGTTGTGACATACGACATAGAACAACCAGTGATGATCAAGTTGTGACATACGACATAGAAGAACCAATGATGACCAAGTTGTGACATACGACATAGAAGAACCAGTGATGACAAAGTTGTGACATACGACATAGAAGAACCAGTGATGACCAAGTTGTGACATACGATATAGAAGAACCAGTGATGAGCAAGTTGTGACACACGATATAGAAGAACCAGTGATGACCAAGTTGTGACATACGACATAGAAGAACCAGTGATGACAAAGTTGTGACATACGACATAGAAGAACCAGTGATGACCAAGTTGTGACATACGATATAGAAGAACCAGTGATGACCAAGTTGTGACATACGATATAGAAGAACCAGTGATGACCAAGTTGTGACATACGACACAGAAGAACCAGTGATGACCAAGTTGTGACATACGACATAGAAGAACCAGTAATGACCAAGTTGTGACATACGATATAGAAGAACCAGTGATGACCAAGTTGTGACATACGATATAGAAGAACCAGTGATGACCAAGTTGTGACATACGATATAGAACAACCAGTGATGAACAAGTTGTGACATACGACATAGAACAACCAGTGAAGAACAAGTTGTGACATACGACATAAAAGAACCAGTGATGACCAAGTTGTGACATACGATATAGAAGAACCAATGATGACCAAGTTGTGACATACGATATAGAAGAATTAGTGATGACCAAGTTGTGACATACGATATAGAAGAATTAGTGATGACCAAGTTGTGACATACGACATAGAAGAACCAATGATGACCAAGTTGTGACATACGACATAGAAGAACCAGTGATGATCAAGTTGTGACATCCGACATAGAACAACCCGTGATGATCAAGTTGTGACATACGATATAGAAGAACCAGTGATGACCAAGTTGTGACATCCGACATAGAACAACCAGTGATGATCAAGTTGTGACATACGATATAGAAGAACCAATGATGACCAAGTTGTGACATACGATATAGAAGAACCAGTGATGACCAAGTTGTGACATACGATATAGAAGAACAAATGATGACCAAGTTGTGACATACGATATAGAAGAATTAGTGATGACAAAGTTGTGACATACGATATAGAAGAACCAGTGATGACCAAGTTGTGACATACGACACAGAACAACCAGTGATGACAAAGTTGTGACATACGATATAGAAGAACCAGTGATGACCAAGTTGTGACATACGACATAGAACAACCAGTGATGACCAAGTTGTGACATACGATATAGAAGAATTAGTGATGACCAAGTTGTGACATACGATATAGAAGAACCAGTGATGACCAAGTTGTGACATACGATATAGAAGAATTAGTGATGACAAAGTTGTGACATACGACATAGAAGAACCAATGATGACCAAGTTGTGACATACGACACAGAACAACCAGTGATGACAAAGTTGTGACATACGATATAGAAGAACCAATGATGACCAAGTTGTGACATACGACACAGAACAACCAGTGATGACAAAGTTGTGACATACGACATAGAAGAACCAATGATGACCAAGTTGTGACATACGACACAGAACAACCAGTGATGACAAAGTTGTGACATACGATATAGAAGAACCAGTGATGACCAAGTTGTGACATACGACATAGAACAACCAGTGATGACCAAGTTGTGACATACGATATAGAAGAACCAGTGATGACCAAGTTGTGACATACGATATAGAAGAACCAGTGATGACCAAGTTGTGACATACAATATAGAAGAACCAGTGATGACCAAGTTGTGACATACGATATAGATGAACCAATGATGACCAAGTTGTGACATACGATATAGAAGAATTAGTGATGACCAAGTTGTGACATACGATATAGAAGAACCAGTGATGACCAAGTTGTGACATACGATATAGAAGAATTAGTGATGACCAAGTTGTGACATACGATATAGAAGAACCAGTGATGACCAAGTTGTGACATATGATATAGAAGAACCAGTGATGACCAAGTTGTGGCATACGATATAGAAGAACCAGTGATGACCAAGTTGTGACACACGACATAGAACAACCAGTGATGACCAAGATGTGACACACGATATAGAACAACCACCGATGACCAAGCACAGCCACCAACCGACGCAACTGGCGGCACAGCAACAAGCAGATGTTCATGAAACTGAGCGTGTTTACATTGTGTGTTTGCTCCCAGTTGGGAGAAAGCAGAACTAAGGTTGCAGTTGGTCCAGAATTGAGCCAAGCTGCTACATTATACCTAGCTGAATGTTTTTATGAATAATGGAGATTGCCATTCTCTCAATCATGAATGTCCCGCTAGTCCCATTGGCTAATGTTGTGTTGTACGTGTGTGCGTGTGTGCGTGTGTGTGTGTGTTGTACGTGTGTGCGTGTGTGCGTGTTTATGTATGTGTGTGATGAGCTAACGCACCTTCTACCAGAAGAAGATGAGTGCGTGTGTGTGTGTGTGTGTGTGTGAGTGAGAGAGAGATAGGTTAACTAACCATCTAACAGATGACATTGTGTGTGTGTATGTGTGTGTGTTTGAGAGAGAGAGAGAGAAATAAGATAACGAACCATCTACCAGATGACGATGCATGCGTAAGTGTGTGTGTGTGTGTGAGAGAGAGAGAGAGAAATAAGATAACGAACCATCTACCAGATGACGATGCATGCGTAAGTGTGTGTGTGTGTGTGAGAGAGAGAGAGAGAGAGAGAGAGAGAGAGAAATAAGATAACGAACCATCTACCAGATGACGATGCATGCGTAAGTGTGTGTGTGAGAGAGAGAGAGAGAAATAAGATAACGAACCATCTACCAGATGACGATGCATGCGTAAGTGTGTGTGTGTGTGTGAGAGAGAGAGAGAGAGAGAAATAAGATAACGAACCATCTACCAGATGACGATGCATGCGTAAGTGTGTGTGTGTGTGTGAGAGAGAGAGAGAGAGAGAGAAATAAGATAACGAACCATCTACCAGATGACGATGCATGCGTAAGTGTGTGTGTGTGTGTGTGTGTGTGTGTGAGAGAGAGAGAGAGAGAGAGAGAGAAAGAGAGAGAGAGAGAATTGAACCATCTACCAGATGACAACTGAGTACAGCTGACGAAAACAAACAGCTGCTGTCACGTGGCAACAGAGTACCGCCGATGACAACAGTCGATGACACATGACAACAGTCGATGACACATGACAACAGTCGATGACACATGACAACAGTCGATGACACATGACAACAGTCGATGACACATGACAACAGTCGATGACACATGACAACAGTCCAGTGTCTCTTCTCTCTCTGACGGGACAGTCTCTCTCTCATGCAACAGTCTCTCTGTGCAACAGTCGATCTCATGACAACACATGACTCATTCATCGATGAACACATGTCCTCTCAGCAGGGTCTGACGACATGATGACGGACGCTCTCGATCTCTCTCATGGCGTTGACAAAAGAGCAGAGTCTCACAGGACACTTACTGACAGCGCCCAGCAGTGACACCTTGGGCAGGTTCCTGGCCTCCAGGATGTTGAAAACGATCTTGCCGGCCACGGGTTGGTAGCAGCCGGACACTCGCAGGTCACCCTGGTGCATCTGTGGACACCATGGGCACAGTCGTCTGTCATCTCTCTCTCCCTGGAAGGTCTCTCTATCTCTCTCTCTCTTCTCTCTCAGTGGACGGTCTCTCTCTCTCTCATTCTCTCTGTGGACGGTCTCTCTCTCTCTGTGGACGGTCTCTCTCTCTCTCATTCTCTCTTTCTGTGGACAGTCCCTCTCTGGACAGTCGCTTTCTCTCTCTCTCTCTCTCTCTCTCTCTCTCTCTCATTCGGTTTATTTATCTGGACGTCACTCTTGGACGGTCTCTCTCTTTCTGGACTCTCTCCTCTCAATCTCTCTCTCTGGACAGTCTCTCTCTTTCTACGGTCTCTCTCAATACTCTCTTTGGACGGTCTCTCTCTCTCTTCTCCTCAATCTCTCTCTCGGACAGTCTTCCTCTCTTCTGCGTCTCTCTCAATCTCTCTCTGGACAGTCGCTCTCTCTCTCTCAATCTCTCTCTGTTAACGGTCTCTCAATCTGGACCGTTTCTCTATCTCTTTCATTCTCTCTCTGGACGGTCTCTCTCTCTCTGGACTGTCTCTCTCTCTTTCTCTTTGGACGGTCTCTCTCTCTCTCTCTCTCTCTTCTTTCTTCTAGACTTTTCCTCGTCTTCTTTCTGGACTATTATCTCTCCTCTCTCTTTGGATGGTCTCTCTCTATCTTTTTCTTCGGACGGTCTCTGTCTCTGGACAGACTATCTCTTTCTCTCTCTCTTTCTGGACGGTCTCTCTCTCTTTCTGGACTGTCTCTCTCTTTTTCTGGACGGTCTCTCTCTCTATCTTTCTCTTTGGACGGACTCTTTCTCTCTCTGGACCAACTATCTCCTTCTCTCTCTCTTTCTGGACGGTCTCTCTCTCTCTATCTTTCTGTTTGGACGGTCTCTCTCTCTGGACCGACTATCTCCTTCTCTCTCTCTCTCTTTCTGGACGGTCTCTACGCTATACGAGTACACTGATTCTTGTTCTTTTGACGCTTACGATGTCACAAATGAATGCTGATCCGGAAAGCACCAGTTGTACCTCTATGCTTCACTAGTAGAATTAATGCAAGGGCAAAGAAGGTCAGGTTGATAAGGATGATGATGATGATGATGATGATGATGATGATGATGATGATGATGATAAGTGGAGTATAGATAATGTTGATATCGACCACAACGTTGACAATTAGGGCCCACGATGAAGTCAGCGGTATGTTTGATCCACTTCTAGGCCCTAGGGTCGTTCATGGAAGAGTCGTCAAGGTTCTCCGGCCGTGTACCGGCTGCCATCATACTTTCAACCGAATCTATCAACAGCAAATCTTTGGCAACGGTTGCAACAGTTGATGGTTCAGTGAATGCGGCAACGCTACTGTGACCTGCAATTATTCATGGCGTCATATTGTCGTGGATCGCGCTGTGGACGATTTTCTCCCAAGACAATGAGTTGCACATTGGCAGCGATGAACCTTTTTTCTAACTACACTGATGAGGCCAAAAATGCAATGGTATTGAGATGTAATAAAATCTAACGGCGGTTAGTTCCACTATTGTCCTCCCAGAGACCGCCCATATACACACTAGCTCACTTCTGATAGGTCGACCTTCAGTCACCCGACCTTCGTACACAGCTACGGGGATGTTCAGCAATGGCGTTGATGTCACGTGTTGTATATTTCAGCATGCCAGCGCTTGTAACACTGTTTATTTTTGGCCATTCTTAAGTTAATTTAAAAATCATTTCACATGTCTCACAGTCGTCCTCCCGTGCTATTATATGTCTATGTGTCCATTCCGTACTATCCTGTGCGATTAGTTCAGCATTATGAACGGAATCCAGTCCAGTAGCTTTAGCCTCTCTTATCAACGTACGTTTCATGGTTTCTGTTCAAACATAAACGGAAAAATCTAACGGCCCACTTGTCGACCGACCGAGGGTAATCTGCGGCCTGTAGGTTAATCCTCGGCCCATAGGTTAATCCGCGGCCTATAGGTTAATCCGCGGCCTATAGGTTAATCTGCGGCCTATAGGTTAATCCGCGGCCTATAGGTTAATCCGCGGCCTATAGGTTAATCCGCGGCCTATAGGTTAAACCGCGGCCTATAGGTTAATCTGCGGCCTATAGGTTAAACCGCGGGCCCATAGGTTAATCCGCGACCTGGCCTGAAATTCCGCGGGTTGTGATAAATCGTGGGTCCTACTGAGGATAATGGTAAAGTGTGATTCAGTATTCAGTGACACAGTTTCAGATCGTTTCTACGGCCACCTGTTTGTGAACAGGTCAACACACCTGCCCAGGTGCCAGCCGAGCGTGCGCTGTCCACACACCTAGCATCATCATTACGTTCTACTCACCCTGTAGACGGTTTGTGGCGAGATGAAGAGCTCCACTTGACCGGAAATCGGTTTCCCCGCCTCTATCAGCCGTACTGATGTCACGCCCACAAGATGGCGACGGCTGACATGGTGGGAGGAGTAAACCTGGAACTCTAGAGCCCCGCCCTCCCTCTGCTCCAATGGGGGCAGATCTTTGATGACGAACTTCTCCAGGAACAGTGGATCCTGTCAATGACCAGTAAAACATGTAAGCACTTTAATGTTCCATAGACAGGAAGGAGAGACACATATGCCAGTAATTCACTAGACAGCATTAGAGATACACACACACACACAAACATACGTGAGATAAACTAGACATGTGAAAGGTACACTAGATAAAAGAAGAGAGATACAATAAACAATATGCACGATATACACTAGACAGTAGATATAACTACAATATGAAGATACACACACACACTGGACAATATGATACGTGAGATACACTAGACAATATGACACAACACACACACAAACAGTATGAGATACCTAGACAGTATGAGAAACTAGACACCATGAACACTAGACAAACATACGTATGAGATACACTAGACAATATGAGATACACTAGACAGTATGAGATACACTAGACAGTATGAGATACACTAGACAGTATGAGATACACTAGACAGTATGAGATACACTAGACAGTATGAGATACACTATAATACACAGATAGAGATACACGATATGAGTATACACTAGACAATATGAGATACACTAGACAACATACATACTAGACAGTTTCTTGACAGTATAACTAGACAGACAGAGTGAATGGTCCAGTATTCTGCGAGAGGATATGACAGCTATGAATACACTAACTGACGACAGAGTGAATGTACAGTTCTGCGAGAGGTATGACTGCTATGAAGTATAACTGACGACAGAGTGAATGGTCCAGTTCTGCGAGAGGTATGACAGCTATGAAGTATAACTGACGACAGAGTGAACGGTCCAGTTCTGCGAGAGGTATGACAGCTATGAAGTATAACCGACGACAGAGTGAATGGTCCAGTTCTGCGAGAGGTATGACTGCTATGAAGGTATAACTGACGACAGAGTGAATGGTCCAGTTTCTGCGAGAGGTATGACAGCTATGAGGTATAACTGACGACAGAGTGAATGGTCCAGTTCTGCGAGAGGTATGACTGCTATGAGGTATAGCTGACGACAGAGTGAATGGTCCAGTTCTGCGAGAGGTATGACTGCTATGAAGTATAACTGACGACAGAGTGAATGGTCCAGTTCTGCGAGAGGTATGACTGCTATGAAATATTCCCTGACACACAAGTGACACGATTCAGTTCTGCGAGAATTATGAACTGCTATGAAGTGTAACCTGACAATGAATGTCCGAGTTCTAGCGAGAGGTATGACAGCTATGAAGTATAACTGACGACAGAGTGAATGGTCCAGTTCTGCGAGAGGTATGACTGCTATGAAGTATAGCTGTACCCTGGTACAATGACTACATGATCTCTACCCTGGTACAATGACTACATGATCTCTACCCTGGTACAATGACCACATGATCTCTACCCTGGTACAATGACTACATGATCTCTACCCTGGTACAATGACTACATGATCTCTACCCTGGTACAATGACCACATGATCTCTACCCTGGTACAATGACCACATGATCTCTACCCTGGTACAATGACCACATGATCTCTACTCTTCTACAATGACTACATGATCTCTCCTCTGGTACAATGACCAAATGATCTCTACCCTGGTACAATGACAACATGATCTCTACCCTGGTACAATGACAACATAATCCCTACCCTGGTACAATGACAACATAACCCCTACCCTGGTACAATGACAACATAACCCCTACCCTGGTACAATGACCACATGATCTCTACCCTGGTACAATGACTACATGATCTCTACCCTGGTACAATGACAACATGATCTCTACCCTGGTACTGACAACATAACCCTACCCTGGTGACAATGACTGCACATGAATCTACCCTGGTACAATGACAACATGATCTCTACCATGTTGTGCTGTACCTGTGGTTGGTCAATGACTACATGATCTCTACCCTGTTACAATGACCACATGATCTCTACCTGGTACAATGACTACATGATCTCTCCCCTGTGGTACTGTGTGTGGGAAATGACCACATGATCTCTACCCTGGTACAATGACCAACATATCTGATCTCTGGTTGTGGTAAGGCTACATCTGATGACCATAATGATCTACAATGTTACAATGACAACATAATCCCTACCCTGGTACAATGACAACATAACCCCTACCCTGGTGTTGCGCAAGGTTTTGGTCCTGTATTTGAACGTCCTGCCAGGCACCAGGAATGCCTTGACGTACGGGTTCACTTCTATGTCATCAGGCACTCCAGGGATCTGCAAGCTCTGGGCCTGCAAGGCAACAACACCCAGATCAATGATATACCTGTGTGGGCCAAGCTATGTTATGTTATCACAATGGACGTCGCTGCATGTTGGACCTCATTCTGTGTGTTGTGTGTGTGGAATCTGTGTATGTGGAAAGTGGGAAGTGACTCTGTTATATCTGTGTGTGGGACCTCTGTTATATCTGTGTGTTGGAAGTGATGGACCTCTGTTATATCTGTGTGTGGGAAGTGAAGGACCTCTGTTATATCTGTGTGTGGAAGTGAAGGACCTCTGTTATATCTGTGTGTGGGAAGTGAAGGACCTCTGTTATATCTGTGTGTGGGAAGTGAGGGACCTCTGTTATATCTGTGTGTGGAAGTGATGGACCTCTGTTATATCTGTGTGTGGGAAGTGATGGACCTCTGTTTTATCTGTGTGTTGGAAGTGAGGGACCTCTGTTACATCTGTGTGTGGGAAGTGAGGGACCTCTGTTATATCTGTGTGTTGGAAGTGAGTTACCTCTGTTATATCTGTGTGTTGGAAGTGCGGGACCTCTGTTATATCTGTGTTTTGGAAGTGAGGGACCTCTGTTATATCTGTGTGTGGAAAGTGAGGGACCTCTGTTATATCTGTGTGTGGAAAGTGAGGGACATGTGAAGTATTGTTTTTAATGTCACTGTGGTACTGGGGCGTCCGTTGCTCACCCACCTCTCCCGGTAGCAGACAAAAGTGCGCTGTACCAGTTCTGAAGGAAACATGGCTTGTGTTTTTGCCTTACCATTTGAAACGTAGCTAAGGTAGTAGATTCACCGTGTGCTCCCCGCCACCAGGTTGCCTGCTGGTTTCGCTGAGTTCGCCATGGCTCTAAGGATGATTAGTTAGGGCAGCTGAGTCCCTGTGCCTTCACGATAGTTTCGGGTATTCAGCGTGATTAGCATACCTGTTTCCACTCCTAAGACTGTACAGCACACCTCCGGCTCCTTCCCTCCCACAGGAGACAGTACGGTGTAGTACCCCGGGTTTATTATCGAGGTTTGCTCCTCTAGATCTAGTATGTTTTGCCTGGGGATTTACAACCCCTCCCCCCCCCCCCTTACTCAACCAGTTCACACATGCGAAGTACCTTAGCAGTCACATATGTACGTACCTTAACAATCAAACCTGTAACATACCTCAACCTTCACATCTGTAACTTACATCAGTGGTCACACCTGTAACATACCTCAGCTGTCACATCTGTAACTTACCTCAGTGGTCACACCC